GTTGAGGTAACCTTTATGTGATTATTATGTGAGTATGTGATAACATGCATGTTTATTTAAGTAAATGGATGAATCATATATATGTGAATATGTTACTGTGCATAGGTGAGAAATGTTAAAAATATGTGTGTATACATGTATGATAATATGCATATATGAGAACTATTAAATATAGGTATGTGCATATTCTTGGTTAAGAAAAGAGGTTTAAAAAATATAAAACTCCACCGCCTTGGAAGTTTTATAATTAACTTTTACACCGCCTTTGTTAAAGATATATATATATATATATATATATATATATATATATATATAAGATGAGATTAATCTTATTATTATTTGGAGAGATCTTTGTGAATAAGAAAATTGTGTGTGTGTGGCGGTGAAGGTGTTCTTGAAAGAAAACTTGCATAAAAGTGATTTGTAGATTCTGTGATTATTTGAAGAAGTTGCGGTGTGATTAATCTCTAAATCTGTGCATATTAAGGTGAGTTTTTGTTATTAAAAATCCTTATATGATGTTATTTGGAATACATGATTTTCGATAGTTGATTTTGATGAAGAAAGGTAAACTGCTTTAGAAGGGGATTTGAACTTTATATATATGGGTTTTGGAACTGTTCTTGAAAAATAAAGAAGATTCTGCTTCTTTTAATTAGCTGAAGATAATATCCTATTTCTTTAAGGATAAAAGGGGTTTTGAGCTTGGAAAATTATATTAAAGAACTATTGGTTCTTGAGTTTCAAAGTTTTGAAATAAAACTGTTTTTGAAACTTTTATTAGTTAAAACTATAGAGGATGTTCCTTCAAGACGGTTGTGACTTCGGTCTATCTTGTTTGGAAATAATCTATAGATTTTGATGAGGAAATAAGGGTGACATATCAAGGAGAGGTGTTCAATGGTTTTGAGTTCTTATTTCTTTGTGACTTGAGGACTCAGGAATGTTACTCTTATTAGAAATAATAGTAATGGTGTTATTGAGAAGGGGGAAACTTAGATTATGGCCAGAGGTTTTGGATAACCATGCTTTTGACAAAGTGTACGAATTATGAGGAACCAGAGAGGCTCTGGTTGTTCCTTGAAAGGAACCAGAGGGGCTCTGAATAATATTCGTTTATGATACAAGTCTTTTAAAAATCTTTTACTTGGACCAGAGGCTTTGTGTCAAAGGTTGTGTTTCAAAATTATTCATAAGACTTCTTGCTCTTATTTTAACTTAGAAAATTAGTTATACAAAATGACTTTAGCAAAGAAGGACAAACCAGATGGGCTCTGGTTGGTCTTCACAATTGAACCAGAGGAGCTCTGGTTGATCGTTGTAATTGAGCTAAAGGTTATGGTTAGTAGAACCAGAGGCTCTGGTCGTATATAAGCTTTTAAATTATACTCTTTTTATACATGGGAAAATATTGACATCCATCCTCTGTACTTGACTTTGTAATTATATGATTGATAAACTTGAGAGGAGCTCTGGTTGGTATAACCAGAAGCTCTGGTGAATGAAACTAGAGGGGCTCTGGCCCTGCTATTTGATGAAAAATCTTTTTAAGCCTGGTTTTACAACCAGAGGAACGTTCATCTTTATGAACTATGGATTTATGTTCTTATCATATGAAAAGTTGATTTTAAATAATGTTTTGGTGATCTTCACCATGCAATTACAAGGAAAAAAGGATCTCACTAGACCTTCGGGTCTAACCCTCATTTTGTCTTTAAACATGTATTGGAGGAATAGCTGAGTACCATGATAGTAAAGGGAAAGGGAAAATATAACTTGTTTCCCTATGTGCATAACTATATGAAGATCATCCTATGGATGTGTTTAGTTAACATTTTAGATGTGGTAGCTTGGACTTGCTTTGTGAGCTCATTTCGAAGCTTTTCGGTTTTGTAAGGTTGTTCGGTGAGTTATATAGTTAATTGTTACATATTGTTTTGTATATATATGTATTTTCATATGAATTTTATGGTCTTGAATTGAGTCACACGATCTTGATTTGTCTTTGATTTCGTCTCTTGAGTCTATTATGTATTATGATCTCGTTACATTGATTTGCTTTTTGGATCCGGACTCGTTGTTTTGTTCCTTGAATTGTACGCCATAGTACATGTACTACTTCGTGTAGAACGCCAGAAGTTTATGGCGAAGTCAAGATCTCGGGTTGGACGGGTGACACTTTCTGCTGTTGTGGATACTCATTGCTCAAAAAGGAGGAAGAGCAATGAGTAGGGAACCTTGGCACACACCCGGTAGAGAAAGGCCGACAGTGCGAGGTTTCCCGTAATGTACGATTCTGACTCGAACTTTGGCATAAGCCCGGAAGATGAAGGATGGGGTGATGCACTGTCCTTGTTATATGTACCGATTCGATCTCTTGGTTCTTGGTATTTATTGTCATTCTAACATTGTTGAATATATTTGGCTATTGATCTTGTTTCCTTGTTGTATTGAGCATCAATGGTATGGTATGTTATAGTGGTTTGAATATGGAATTCTATGATCTTCGCATTCGATACGTATATGTTAACTCGGTTTTTTGTAAGTCTCGGTTTGCATTTAGATGATGTCTTGAACTCTTTTATTGATAAGAGTTTATTATGTATGTTTATAAACATGTGCGCTATTGAATGTAATACTTAACTATCTAACTCACTAAGCGTTGGCTTACCATTTAAGTGTCAACCCCTCTCATGAAAGAAGACGGTTAAAGGAAAAGAACTCGTTGTTTGACTTGGAGATTTATTGGGGGACTTAAAGATTACGGACTTACTTTTGGTATATAGTAGTTTATTACTGTATCTCATAGATGTAGTAATTTTGTAGCTTGTACATAGTCTTGTTCCGGTTATAAGTATGTCCCGTTTATTTTGCTACTTAATTCGGGTTGTAAGTAAAAATCCGTTATGTTCGGTTTGGAATTGTGTTTTGGTTGGTTTTATCACTAAAATTGAACGGACATTTCAAAGTTTTTCTAGAAAATTAATATCCCATATTTTAAGGTTAATCAAAAAAAAATTATTGAAGATTTTATAAAATTGGTAACTTGGGGTTTCTTAAGTGAGATGTTACATTTCTCATTGAGGAACAACAGTTCAAGTATAATCTTCACGATCAAAAGCTTTAAGTACAGCTTGAAGTTCTTCCATGAGAGATGCAAATTAGTATTCAAGCCCATGACATCAACCACCCACCATCAAAAGCTTCAAGTACAGCTTGAAGTTCTTCCATGAGAGATGCAAATTAGTATTCAAGCCCACGATATCAACCATTAAGGGAGTCGTCAAGAGAATTGAGAAAGTTGGCAACACAATGTTGTCAAATATGTTGTAAATATCATTTAAGATAGAAGGCCTGCCTTTGACGTTTAATATGTAAATGTCATATGAAAAGCCCAATCAACACTTCAAGTTCAAACTCATGTCACTCTTTAACTAATTTAAATCGCAAGCGTTGGGTTTTATGAAGTGAGATATATTCCAATATGGCTCCTATGTGGGAAAAGGTTTCCCTAGTAAGCCAAAGTTGGAGGGGCCACTTCATGCTTACATACAGGAAGTCAAATCAATTGGAGATCATAAGGTATTTTTGGCTCCTATTTTGCTAGTTGGCAAGATAGAGGATGATCTACATAAGGCTATATTTATCGATTAGTTAGAGGAGCCATTTCATGGAGAAGTTATAAACAAACTCTTATGAGTGCATATAACATGAGAACATAATTTGTAGCACATGTAATGAGACAACTACTCACAGAATATGATACGAGATCTGGTCACACGTTTATGGATTGTGAATTGGATTGAAAGACTACTTAAGTTCTATTGTTGAAATAAATCTACAATATCGTATTTCAAAGCTATAGAATGAGCACTATACAATATGTGAAAACAACTTGGGCGATAAATGCTCAATTCGGACAACATCTCGTCCGATAAAGGTCCTTACCAGTCATAGCATGAGCGATAAGGGTCCTTCATCAGACAACACAATGTCCGATAAGAGTTCTTATCGGACCATGCATAAGAACACTAAAAATACATACAACAGTTTTATTCTTTATAACAACATGCAGAAACAGTATACCATAAAATGATCAAAATCAGATTCAAAGTCTTTATAAAAACTCGCTTTATGCAAAGAATTCGAAGATGAATACACACACAGGAATCAGCTTACAACTTTGATCACTTCTTCAACTTAGCAAAAACACACAGATTACTCTCTCCTTACAGGCTTTCCAAAAATGGCAAACTGATTACACTTTCAAATTTTCCAACTTTTTATACCTTTCCAAATAAAGTTAGTAGGGATTTATAAATTTTTAAAATCCCTCCCCCTTCATACCCACATACACAAACCCATGCATGCATATACATACATACACATATACATGCATCAAAGATTAATATAAACCATTAATCATGTAACCAAATAATCACACTATCCACCCCTCAAAAGAATTCTGTCCCGGAATTCAATCAAGCTAACAACCACCGATACTCGGCTTTCATCTCTGATTCCAATTCCCAGGTTGCTTCTGAACCCTTATGAAAATACCACTGAACTTTCACAAGATTGATCTCTTTGTTCCTTAACACTTTGGTTTTTTGGTCAGGTGACGGCTTCAGATGTTTCCACAAAGTTCAGCTTGCTATCTAGTTTGCCTCAGGTAATGGTACTGCCAGACTCGGATCTGCCAAACACTTTCGCAGGTTAGAAACATGAAAGTTGTTACGAATTGAGCTAAGCTCCTCTAGTAGTTCCAACTGATAAGCAACCAATCCGACCCGTTTGCAAATTCTGAACGACCCAATATACCTTGGACTGAGCTTACCTCTCTTTCCAAATCTGACACCTTTCCATAGAGAGACTTTCAACATCATGAAATCTCCTACATGAAACTCAATCGGTTTACTGCGTTTATCGACGTAACTCTGCTGTCGGTCCTAAGCTGTTTTAATTCGTTCACAAATATGTTCAATTTTTTCAGAAGTTACCCGAACAAACTCTGGACCAGTTAACTGCCTCTCATCCACTTCATTCCAACGCAACGGCGTTCTGCGCTTTCGGCCATACAAAACTTCATAAGGTGATGCCTGGATCCTGGAGTGATAACTATTGTTGTACGCAAATTCAATCAAAGGCAGATGATCTTCCCATGATCCCCCGAAGTCAATAACACAGGCTCTTAACATATCTTCAAGAGTCTGGATTGTTCTTTCACTTTGTCCATCCGTCTGAGGATGATACGTCGTACTCAATTTGATTTGAGATCTCATGACTCTTTGAAAACTCTCCCAGAACTTTGAGGTAAACCGACTATCCCGATCTGAGATGATGGATAATGGAACACCATGCCGATCTACAATCTCTTCAAGGTAAATTTTCGCCAACCTTTTTAGAGGATATTTCTCTTTAATCGGTAGAAAGTGCGCAGATTTAGACAAACGGTCTACAATAATCCATATAGCATCATACCCGTTTGGAGTTCGCAGTAATTTCACGATAAAATCCATCGTGATATGATCCCATTTCCATATAGGAATCTCCAAAGACTGCAGATTCCCATATGGTCTTTGATGCTCGACCATCACTTGTAGACACGTTAAACACCGTTCCACATACCTCGCGATATCTTTCTTCAACCCTGGCAACCAATAAAACGGTTTTAAATCTCTATACATTTTATTGGTACCTGGATGAATCAAATACCGGGATTTGTGACTTTCATCCAAAACTAACTCTCGGATATTCCCAAAGCAACGTATCTAAATCCTGTCTTGAAAACACAGAATCCCCTTATCAATCTTTTCCAAAGTTGAAATCATTTTACCCACTCTTTCCCCTTTGAAATTGTTTTCTTTGACAGCTTCATCTTGACATCTCAATATTTCAATGTAAAGATCCGGAGTCAAATTCGTTTTCATTGCAACGTCGTTGATTATTCCACTCCTTTCCAGTTAATAAAACCAAATGAAACTACATGTTCTTAATAATTAGTTACAGATATGTATTTTTTTTACTTTTATATCCTATATCAAACTCACTAAGTTTAGGTTATTGCACGCCAACAATTATGTGTTTCACACTTCCAGTTAGTTACCATCGTGTGCAATATTCATTTTGGCGACTTCTTATAAAACAAGTAAACCTAAAAGCTTTTTCAGAAAAATGGGACGATGAAAAGTACAATGTAACAGAATTGCCTAAAAAATAATCAGCCAATTGATCAAACAAAAACATTACTAGTTCGTAATTCAAACTAGATATGCTTAAAAGTATCAAGGATGGATGAGTATGTACCAACAACTCCCAATAGAATAGCCAACACTATTAATCCCCCTATCACGACAAGTTCAAAACCAAAACTTTTGTACACTTCAAAGATCTTCAGGTAACAAGCGCAAGGGAGCAAGAAAGAAACAGAAACAATAAGAGCTGCTCCGCTAAGAGATGTTACAGACTCGAATGATGGAAATGCAATAGCTAATATAACTGTACTAGCCAATAAACACATCTTTATCACCGCGTTGATTACCTTATTATCTCTGTGTTTAACGGGTAAGTAGTTTTCGATAGCAGTAGCAATTGGCATTATGGTTAAAGCATATTTTGCAATGGGGGCGGCCAAAATTGTGTATATTGCCACCTTTGAACTAGTTTTCTCGGTCGGTAGGCTGAGTGTGACTTGTGATTCCACATTGTCTCCATATATAAGGTAACCGAGTATGGCCATTGCCACATATGTCATTGTGCAGATCATGAAACTTACAAGTAGAACCTGCAAATAATCACAAAAAGGTCAAAATTTTGTAAACCGGACCCATTATCTACTTATCTCAGACCATAAAAGTGATTTACTTTCTGTCTTTTAATTGTATTTATATACTAACCAACTTTGGTAATATTTCCCCTATCATCCTCTTGGTTATAAGTTAGGAAGGATGTAGACGATGATATTGTTGGTCCATAAGTATGCTGGATAGCTAGGGAAGCAACTGTCATAATATGGTTTACACCCATAAGCTTATTGCTGAAACCGCATGTATATAGTATATGTAAAGTGGTAATAATTTATATATGCATATATACATGTATATTTGAGAACCGAAAAACTAATTCATTCATCAACTATTGACGATGAATGTTCTTAAAATATTCATGAATATTCGTCATAAATATCTTGTATTCTCGTTATCATGATATTCATGATGAATATCCCTAAAATATTATTGATGCTATTCATAATGAGAAATTAATGAATTGTTGGTTCTTATTTCATAAAATATTTATGGTTGTCTTGAGTTTCTCCCTAGGTAGAGTTGGAATCATACGAAAACAACACCATTTTGTGAGAAGGTAAGGACATTTCTGAGCCTTTGGACAGGTTGGTTTTTGGATCTAACGACTTAAAAAAAACGCAGACCCTTAACTTGATGGCTTACAAAAAAACATAGACCATCATCTACCCTCAATTATATTCACCTACCTTCATCAACCTTCACATTCGCCTTTAGTCACATTCACGAACTTTTGCATACCTTCAACCACTTACACATCCATGAATTTGTCAAAGTTTAAGTTATGGTTTTATAAATAAGTAAATGAAGGTAGAGTAAAATTTATCGAACGAAGGTAGATGAAATCTTTGTTCTCATGTTCTCACCAAAGGGAACCCAACCCTATATATATTTTCATTTGTTTTGAGATTAGGTTGTGAACTTACTAATGGAAACTGGCTTTTCTGTTTCATAGAAAGGTAAAGGGCAGGAAACATAGCATGAGCTCCATAGCAGAATGTGTATAAACTAACTGCTGTTGGCAGTCCCTTGAAATTCACAAGGCTCCCCTTGCTATGAAATCCAGCCCCCGACATGCCGACACAAAAAACGCAAACCACCACTATCAATGAGGAGAGCACCCCACCAAAGGAAAGATAAGAGAGAAGGCTCAGATCATTTAGCCACATAGATGGCAGGATGATTAGCCCTGCCACAATCACAAAAGAGTGCCTTCCATCCAATTCCAGGCTTCCAATCTTCAAACCAAATGTAGGAGAAAGTTTGTGTAAGTTGTCACCTTCAAGAATCAGAAGACCAGTGGCAACAAGATAGAGCTCTAAACAAGTAAAAAGCAATGCTATAATTCTTCCCTTTTGACCAAATGCGATCCCAGCAATATCGGGATAGCTGGTGGCCAAAGGGTTGGATTCCATGCAACGACGGATCAAAATTCCGGTGAAGTAGGCCGCGAGAGCGATCAAGATCAGGGCAATCAGGCTTAGCCAGCCACCTGATGAGAGTGCGTATGGGATTGAGAGGATGCCAATACCTGACAAAATAAAGGATTAAATTATGAGTAGAAACTACAAAAAGCCAGGTTTTAAAGTAATGCAAAAACATTTAAGAGTTCTAATAGACCGCTTTATAGAACTTAGGTTTTAAAATAAAAAAATTATGCATCTTATACAAAAATGTTACAATAAGATTAAATGACGCTTGGAGGCATCCTGACAAACTTTTTATGACAATATTTGAATAATTAAGGGTCCTACCATCCTATTTATTTTTCATAATATGACATTATTTGAAAAATGTCTTATAAAATGAGTGTTTTATAAGAAGACGTATTCGTATAACACTTCTTTGAAGTGTCCTATAAGAAATGTAATGCAACATTTTGTTTTGCAAATGCTCTAAAAGCTATTAAAACGCCAAAATCGTCCTATAAACTTATCGTAACACATTTTTATACAATATCCATAATTGTTTGGTTATATAAATTTAAGTCATATAAGATGGTGTATTAAGACAGTTAGACATTTTTTACGTATTATAAAACCACTTTTGTTATAATGGGATGCAATGTTCTAACTTGCAACTATTTAGAACCAGACTTTATCTCTTCCAATTGAACAAATGTTTACGGTGATCATACAAATAAATGCTTATAAATATTAACTACAACAAAATCGGATTTATATAAAAAATCTGTAAGTGTATTGCTTTATAAAACTTGAAAAAATTTACACGATCAAACAATTGTCCGGCCTAAATAAAAGTGTTGTAATTAGTTTATAGATTTTAACAAGATATTTTTAAGATTAATAGGGTGCTTTGTTTCAAAATCGTTCTAAAAAGATTGTTAAGAAACACAAAGACGTTTGTATGATCCTATATAAAGCAGTATATTATAACACAAACATTTTTGATATTATATAAACCTCATTTGTTGTAGCGATGTAGTTTAAGAAAATAATTGGTGCCTTATCAAACATGCAAACAGTAAAGTGACAACCCTTCTCTTCAAAAGCGTTATCGATCAGTCGTCAATAATGATGCATTCAACAAATTTTTATGATGAATATGCATGAACTAGTGATCAATGATGGGTATTAACCAGACAGACAGCAAGGTGGGTATTAATTGCTTTTCATACCCGAATAGCGGGTTTGAAGTCGGGATGGTATTATCGGCTCTTAATAATAACTGGTATGTATGTGTGTGTATATATATATAGAGATAGAGAGGGGTTCAATGGAAGACCCCTTAAAAAATGAAAAAACTAATTGAATATGTATGGTATGCATATATACATACGAATAATTGAATATGTTTCCTCGTTTCTATAAATGGATGCACGTTATGCATTACAAATTTGAAAAATTACTTATAAATTATTTGTATTAACATGTACATATTATACGGATGAACAGTTATATACAAGAGTGTTTCTGAATTTTTCAATTTTTTTTTGATTTTCCCCAGCCCTTGACCTTGACCCTATATATATATATAGTCTACTTCAAACGAGAATGGTACTTATTTAAATAAATAAGAAAATGACCGAATCACATATGATTTTACACTAACATCATGTACGAAATCACATGTGATTCACATAACTTTACCTTGCAACCTGAAGACACGGCCTAAGTTGCCCGCACACCTTTTTTGAACCGTTAATATAAAATCACATGTGATTGTGTACGTGATTTGGCATTTTCTTATTCTCCTAAATAGTTAGTATTCTCGTCTAATCATCCTTCTATATGTACATATGTATATGTGCATGTGTGTGTGTATATATATATATATATACACATATAGGTGGTTTCAAATACAAACTATGTAATTCATACAAACTTACAAACCATTATATTAGGAAACAATTGAGATATATATGAAAGATGATAAAGTTCATTTATTATAATCATGACTTTAGATTATGACATATAATAAAATCAAATATTTATTAGACTAGATGAATGACTAAGATCGGTTTATAAAGCTTGTTAGAATTATATAATTTGTAATTGAACTCCCCACATATATATATATATATATATATATATATATATAATTTAATTAGTTATTTTTTTTTTGTTTTATAATTTTATACTTTTTAATTTGTTATCAACTATGATTATACATGGTTGGTTATATTATTATTGGTTTTTATGACTTAGAGGTTTATTTATTTGTTAAATTCATTTCTTATTTTTAAATAAATAGTTAATTTTTTGTTTCCTAAAAGGGTACTGAACGGGTTCTTCATACCCGTCTGGGATTTTCCACGTCAAACCGGTTAGGGATTTGGTGGAGCAAGGGTCAGGGTCGGGAGACATAAACAGGGTTGGGGTTGAGGGTGCATTCTCTTCCCATCACCCGTTCTGTTTCCATCCATACTTGAGATAAATACCTGATAAAGCGTTGATGCCATTGATGCATGTCTTGAGAAAGCTGGTTTCTTTTCGTGTTGAGTGAACAGAATCCATAGCAAACTGTTAGTGAATTAGTAGTTGATTTATTGATTTATATTTCAAATAAACTCTTAACACAATATCGACCCCTAAACTGTCGCTTCACCTTTCAATTAAGCGTCAAAATTGCAGGCATTTTCCAAGAGTGTTATACTGGAGTTGTTTGCAAAAAGGTTGTTCAAAAACCTTTCGTAAAAATCGGTTAGTTGGCTGACCAAAAAGATGTGAAACCAAATTTTGATTTAAATCTTACATGTTACATCCACTTTTTTTTTAACTTCTATTTTACATCTTTGTGATTTTATTTATATATTTAACCATTATAAATATATAACTACATTTTATTTATTACTTATTATCTTTAAAATGATATCAGAATTAAATATTCAATGATTATTTATTTAATATTTGTTGTTATCACAAAATAAATTAGTTTTTTTAAATATAATTAATTTGGATATAACTAATAAAGTAAAATTTTAAGAAAAAGAAAATGAACGAAACAGCATTCTAAACTTGATAATTTTACAAAATATGTAATTTCTTTAATTAATATTGTAATTTCATAAAACTTTGGTTTTATTCATGCCTCGTGATTTCATTTTCTTTAAAAAAATTAATTAATTATTGTAATTAAAAATTTTAAATGAAAGAATTATGTTTTTATATTTTATTATTATTTTAATTAATTATATTTTATAAAAATCAATTTATTTTTGACAATATTAAAAATCACACAAATAACAATCACACTTAATATTAATATAATTTTTAATATATATTAATGAAATATTATTAATAATATTGGATTAAATGCGTGAAATAACAACATACTTTTATAAATTTTTTTATTATAACATTCTATTTTTATTTTTCTTTATTACAATAATGTATTTTTAAATTATTTTTTATTAAGGCATCGCACTTTAGAAAATCTACCCATTATAAGAATGGGTAACCTGTTACCTTTTAAACCGGTTAACCCCTTGACTTTTTTTGTTTGTGTGATTTTAATGAGGTGATGTGGATGACACATCATTCTGATTACTTAATTAAAATAAAAATAAAAATAAAAATAAAAACAAAAACTTATTTTAAAATATTATTAGTGATTTTCATTTTTCATTGTTATGATTTAAAAAATATTTAATTTTTTGACTTTTTCTTATTAAGTTGCATGCAAATGAAATATTTTAGAGTAAAATATTTCTTAAATAAATATGCTACATTATTTTCGAGATATATTTTATTTGAAAAAAATATAACACTTCTTATTTTATGTTGTTCAATAAAATACATATCTTTTAAAGTTTTTTTTTATTTATAAAATATTAACNAGGAGTTCTTTGAACCTTTATGCCTTTGATGGTCTTATYAACATCTACTCCTTTACTATATTTAAAGCATTTAGATTAATTTTTGGTTGTTACAATWTGTTATACATGATTCTTGTTTATATAATTATTTGGTTTCCCTTTTGATGTATTTTTAGATTTAATAATTGGTTCCGTTTCGAGTTCWTGATGATTAGCTTTGTGATAATYCCCTTTGTCTATGCAATAAGGCGGAAGAGAAAGAAATGATTATGTGAAAAGAGAGAGTCTGGATGACAATTAGTTGTCTTYTGTATTTTGTATTAAAACGAGAATTATATATTTGTTGTYAAAKTTAGAAAGGTAAGACMTGATCYTAAGCAATYTGATTGRTGACAAATTTGCTAACAACTGAAAGTGTAAAAGAAGAAGATACYCTTTTAGATCTGAAGTGCTAACATAGTCCTGCAGATTGTGGCATTGATTTTCCACTCAAAAGTTCTTTTARAWTGGGTGAGCTAATTGCAACATATGACAAGGATGGCCGTTTATTACCATCTTACRTTAAATGTTATTTGTCAACTTTAACGCATGTCTTTATCTGATTTGTTGATCMATGTAAGTGCGTACTTTTTATTTAAGCCTTTGAAGTTGATGTGGACWTTTGTTAACCCAACATATCATTCYGTAACAATAAAGGAARTATGATACTATTAAAATAATAATTTAAATTTTATTTTGTTTGACMTGTCAAACATGTTTCCATACTAGGATGAGAATTGGTAAAGTTGACTTGCTGGATAAGTYTGCACTCTARTTTCGGCTTRTCAGAAGTAGTATTTRTCATACTATTATTTGATTTTATCTTGTATTGATYTTCTTTCAGTTAGATGACAATCCAATCAGCTCTAGTGACGATCTTGACCTCATTTCAACTAGTCATCGATTTTGTTAAAAGCTTTTTGTTCTTGGATAAATACATTTAGTTATAAGACTTTTACAAAAGAAAATTCTTATTTATCTATCCGAACTACAAGCTATAGATCGGATTTCAGCTAGACTATTTATGAAATATGAGCATTCAGATGTTTCAAGTATACTTAGAGTATTTGAGGGTTAATGATAATCCAGAATGAATGGCGATGTAAAAATGGATCAATCAATTCTTCATTCGGATGAAGGATTATCAAATATGATATTTGATCCTAACATACTATCTAAAAGACAAGTCCAAGAGTGATTGAAATTCGAAACCT